AACTCGATCTTCTTGATCCGTCGTGCTTCATCGCCAATCTGAACCAGCATGATCCTGTTCTGCACGGCAATCATGATAGTCGGATCCTCGCCTTCCTCTGCATCCCAGTTGAGATCCAACCCACCGATCCAGCGGCAGTTATTGACCTTTGTGGCTCCAAAAGCCGGGCTGAGCTCCGGTAGCATGTAGAACGTAACCGTGCCATTGCAGAGAACACATGCCTTGTTCACTGAGGATAAGACGACTATTTGTCGAACACCTTCTTGATTACTACCCGCTAGAGGACTCTGGGCAAATAGTATCGGTAGTCGGGATGCTAATATAAAGGTGGGTTCGGCGGCTTCATCTGGTGATGCTGGCGGGAGGCATACGAAGTGCAAGATCTCGGCTGCAGAGGTGCCAACGTATAGATTTTCATCTATACAATGTTAGTCAGCTCAGGGATCGTCGAGCAGGCAGCCCCTTTGACCAAAAAAATAGAGCTTACTCCAGTATTCAACACAGGTGATGTAGACGTCGGAGCTATGCTCAGTCGCTAGTGGCACATCCTCAAAGAGGGAATGTAACAAATAAGGTGCAGATCCTAATGTATTGATCTTACGTCTCTTGCGAGGACCAATTCCATCCTCTGAAGCCATCATGAGGCTGTACTTCCGAACATCTCCCCGCAAGCTTGGAGAGCGACGATGTGAGGGCGGTCAGCAACTGGGGCCAAAGCTCAGGGGGCCACAGTCAACCACGGTGGACAACGACCACATCGGGTAGAATTTGTCCGGCAGAATCTGGCTAGATTTACATACAGACGTCTTGTAATGTGCAATTACGACGGGACATGTCGTTCTAGTTGGTGTTCATTGATGGTCTTTTTATGTTTTAGGTATATGCAGGCAGTAAAGCAGGCGTATATTGTACAAGACACCATTTTACGTTTAAACTATGATGCCGAGGTCATTCTAGAGCTGCCTTTCGTTTGTGCTCTATTTTAGCTCTAGATGTGACTGAACTAGAAAACAAAGACGGTCAGCAAGGCGGTCACCTCCATCTATAGGGCGACCGTCATCTCCTGCCATAAAACCATGCTACTGTAAACTGGTGCCTCGAGTCCATTGCTGTCATCTTGAAAGAATACACTCTTCATACAGCCTGCATACTTGTGATAACTGGATTCCCTATCACTTTTTACATTCAAATTTGTCATGATTTTGTATCCAACAACCTCAACCCCAGATCGTACACTGTGCCCAGACAGTCGGAACAATATCGGCCCGTGCGCCGCGTGTCATATTCCTCGCGATAACAGATCTCCATCTTTCCCCTTTGTGGACTGCTATTTGATGTGGGGTGACAGTGCAGACCCTTGGGGCTAGGACCGACAATGGATTCATTTGCCATTACAGAGGGTTTGGTTCCTCAGGACCAACATGACAGCCCACCTGAATCACCCATATCCAGCAAATTGACCGAAGAGACCAACAAGTTTCAACGCGCCATTTCAGCCTGGAGAGGTAATTCTTATCTTACATATTATGGAGTCGCTACTGACATATGATAGGGATTGATTTGACCAACACGCTTGTGAAACTCGATGCAACCGCTACCGATCTCGTTGAACAACAACGCCGTGCACTCGTGCAAAGAAAGGACCTAGCGCAGAAGACAAAAGACTACAAAAAGCTAGACGATGAATCTAAGCTCTCGGAATACAAAACGTTACTGAAATCCTATCAGTCCTTTATCGATCTTTTGACCAACCAAGGCAAGACGTCATCGTCTTCCTTCTTACAACTATACTCTTCATTATCCGAGGCTCCGGACCCCTACCCACTCCTGGAAGCTTCGGTCGACTCCCTTGTCTTGTCCGAAGATACAGTTCCTAAGCTGACCTCGGAAAGAGACCAACTGCAGAAGTCAGTGGATCGTCTCACCAGGCAACAAGAGGAGACTGAGAAACGCCTGCAGGAGGAACGTGCTGCGCGAAGGAAACTAGAGGAAAACCAAGAATCAAGAGCTAAGGAGATCGAAGCATCATGGAATGCTGTCTTGACAGAAAAGACAAATAACTGGGCGGCAAAGGAGAAGACGTTAGAGGAGAAAGTGGAAAACCAGGATCGACTGATCAAGGAGCTCAAAGCAAGTTACGAAGTCTCCCAGCGCCTGGGTGAGGGTGGTAATCAGGGTGACGATATCGAGGGTTCGCGAAGTGGCGCTACTGCAGCTGAGCTCGAGCTCGTTTCTGCTGATTTGGAGAAAACAAGCTTGAGGTTGGCTGATGTGGAAGCACGCAATGAACAAATGCGGTTGGAGCTGGCTCAGGCTGCATCACATGCATCTGGTCCTATTTCTGTTGAGGACGACCCAGATTACTTACGACTCCAGTCGGAGAACTCTTCCTTGCTTCGGAAACTCGATGCTGCACGATTTGACAAAGACTCGGAACGACACACTTGGGAAGCTAAACTGCTTCAATCGGAGCGAGCTGCTTCAAAGGCAGCGGCGGAAAGGGAAGAGTTGCGTGTGCGGTTAGCAAAGGTAGCTGACTACGATGAGATCCGCCGGGAGCTGGAGATGATCAGGTCGGTTGAGTTTGCAGCCGGTGACGATGATGAGGCGGGAGACGGTGCTGGTGATGGTACCGCGGCTGATGCAAATGGTGAGGTGGCCAAATCCAAAGACAAGAACTCCCTGGAGCAACTCCTCATGGCCCGGAACAAGAAATTGACAGATGACCTCACCCTCCTACGAGTATCGCACCGCGATATCCAAGGGCAGCTTGAAGCACTAGGAACTGAGCTTTCAACTTCGAAGGGGGAGCTGGAAAAGTCACGAACCCTGTCAACCACTCTTGAAAATGACCTCCTTCGCGTGCAAGCTGAGGCTGCAAATGCATTCCCATCCTCGGCCATGTCTGTTGCAGGGACCTACACATCAAGATACCCGCACTCTGCCCGTCGGGGCGCATCATCGCCCACCTCATCCATCATCTCTGGCTTTGACCAGAGTGCCGTGTCTGCAAACGCCATAGAATCAATGCGTGCAGGAGAAGCTGTTGGTGGCGGTTCTGGCCTCCTACCTATGATTCAGGCCCAACGAGATCGCTTCAAGAAAAAGAATGCTGAACTCGAAGAAGAGCTGTCAAAGTTATATGCCACCGTCAAGTCTCTGCGACAGGAAGTTGCATCGCTCCAAAAGGACAACCTAAGCCTTTACGAAAAGACTCGCTATGTCTCTACCTATAGTCGTGGTCAGGGTGCTTCCACATCTGCATCATCAATTGCAAACACCCCCAGCTCAACTTCCGTCTATACCTCTGCAGACACGCCTTCTGGTCTGTCTCTCGACCGATATCAGAACGCCTACGAGGCTCGAATCTCACCATTTGCCGCATTCCGGGGCCGTGAATCAGCACGCGCATACAAACGCATGAGCCTACCCGAGCGGATTGTATTCTCTCTCACTCGAGTCATTCTGGCCAACCGGACGAGTCGGAACCTATTCGCTGGCTACTGCTTTGCACTCCACCTTCTGCTTTTCACTGTGCTCTATATGATGAGCACAACGGAGATTGAGAAACATAGCGCTATGGACTCCGTCAGTAGCGCCGCTGCCGTTGCATACGGTGGTAGTAGTGGAGGCAGAGGTGGGAGCCAGCTGCACGGTGATGACTGGCAGCAGGAAGGTTTCAACTAATGTTCCAAGGTTTTGTCTGATGTTTACACAGCGAAGAGCTCCGGAGTTCCTTTTTTTTTATTTAATCATTTTCTCTTCATGACTGGTCATAAGTCCTGCCTGGCGTTCAGGTTTGAGTGATGCTCTATGTTGTATCATTCTGGGATGTGAGTCGAGCTACATCGTTCATCTTTGATTTCTAGCAAATATCATATGTCTGTGACTAAAAAATAATGAGATGACCGTAGATGTCGGGCCTTTCCAATGTCAAATAATTTTCTAATACCACACCACACCTTGCTGACTGACACTTGCCCCCATGGGATTGGTAGATCACTTGGAAAGAATCTAGATACACAGATGTAGAGGTAGTATTGCCACAAAATAGGTACTTACAAGGTACAACAATAACCAAACGGGTCAGAGCAACTTCGTATAAGATGGTATCTACGCGCCAGTGGACTGCAACGAAAGCGAAAACTAAGACGGGGCGGAACGAAAGCCAAACTCCGCTATTTTAGCCTCCGCCGTTCAACATTGGAAGGACAGATTGTAAATAAGTTGACCCAAGTGAACTATAGCATGAGTGAAAACACGAGTAAGCTCTATTTGATTAGTGCTAAAATCCATGTAGCCAATGCCTGCAACAGTTTCCCCGAGTTCTGCACAAACCCTAGGATTAGTGACTTGGCATTATTTTCTCTGCACACTAGCCTGTCACGGTAATTATCTCGCATATCTAACCGCCTCAACAGACATGACAAAGTTCTTCAGTCAGATTTATTATTAGCCCCGGGGAATTAATAGAACTCATCACATTGGCTCAGTTTTAACAACCATGACTAAACGGTCAAGGGAAACCCCGTTGATTTGCTTAGCGCGTCGCTATCATGATTTAGTCAAAACTTGTTTCCTGCCAACGACAAATTAGAAGCCGAAGAGGTGGGGGGGGACCTGCCATCGGCGCATCTATCCACCAATGACAGGATGTGGTCGAGCCTTAATCCCTGCTAGTACCTGCAGGTTGCATCAATCGCTCTGTTAATAGCACAGCACTGTTTCGAGTCGGGCCTGTGTTACTATGTTTGATAAATGCTTGAATTGAATGACAGTTGTGATTACTACCGCATCTATCTGTATAAATGCCCCTCGGCCCAGATTATACATCATGTCAATCACTCCCTTTTCATCCCTTTCTTCAACATTCTTACCTCCCCTCTTCACACCCGAACTGCATCAGAAGCTTGCTGGATAATCCTTGATTTTCTCAGAAAAAATCCCCCGCCATCGGCCACCTCGCTATTCCAGTCTACCAGCGTATTTGCATAGTAGCTATGCATTTTGCTCCCATCATCATCTGTTTTGCAGCAATATCACTTGCTGCCCCAACAAACTTCCTTGACGATGTATACGACTGGACCGAGGAACTGTCTGAATTCTATGGGAAAGTGAGGCAGTACATCAAAAACGCAAAATACAACATCAGAGCACCAGGGGCTTGCGAGGTTTCTAAGATTGCTCTGCCCTCATATGCTTTGGGATTGACCAGCCCGTCTGGCCTAAAGCCGAAATACGTTGCGCTAGGACGGGGTACCCAGGTATGACAGGTTCCTGGGATATCTTGTTGAGTTAAACCACTCATCATGAAACTAGAACTATACATGTGCGGACTCTACTGCCAAATCCACACCCACGGCGATAGGGGCCATTGCAAGACTCTACAATGCCACATGCATTGCAGCCAATCTCCCCGATCTCCTGGCAAACCTCCCCGACCTTTCCTACAAAACTTCCTTACCAACCAACGAATATGCCTCGTTTCTTCCCGCCAACCTCGAATTGTTGGGTCATCATTTCTTCTATGATGCCACAACCCCCGAGTTCAACTTGAACACCACACCCAAAAAGCAAGATGGCATTGTAATGACTAAAAAAGGAGGTGCAATCGATGCACCCTCAGGTGCAGTGTCAGGAAAGCACGGTGCTGTGCCTTGGCTCTATCTCATAGCTACCGATGGAACGGTGGGCAATTACAAGAGTGTCTATCGAGTCGACACTGCCGCTGGGCTCCCACCAAAGACCTGCAAGGGTATGCCAGCTGCATTTGAAATGCAATATGCTGCAAACTACTTCTTTTTTGGGGAGTAGCTGATTGTTTTTGTTGTGTTTGTACATAAGAGGGGGGGATTTTGATTGGAGATATGATTTTTCGATTTACGGGGCGGCGATGTCTTACTTTCTTACCGTTCTTTCTACATATTCAATGGCAGTTAATGGGCTGTATAACTAAATGAATCAATTGTTTTTCTTTAACATCATCGATCTTGGTGCTTCATCTCATCGACTACAAAGCTTAAGCAAACAGATTTCCCGGTTGCATAGAACGACCTACGTTTTTGTTAGAGATGTCACCTTCTTCACAGGTTAGTCCTTTTACATTTGTCACCAAATAATCAACGACCAATTTGCGTCTCGAACGAAACAGGGCTTTTCTAGTCACGTGGCATTTTCCCGGAGGAAGCAGTTCACGTGATGTCCTCTCGCGGAGGAAACGCTAGGCCTAAAACAGCCTAGCGCCGTTCTGATTTTCTGAAAGATCCCAAAGGCGCAAAAAAAATCTCGACCGCATCAACGAGCAGCAACGGTATCGATCCGCATCCGACAGATAGTCAGCGGCCAATTCTGCTTGAACTGCTTGATCCTACTATCTCAGATACGTTGCCAATTTTTCTCCATCTTTATCGACTCTCGGAACTTTTATTCCAATTTTCAACTACACTCGGTTTAAGCGCTCGGAAACGACAGCTTAACCTCACTCCCCTTTGACTCCTTTTACAACTGAGTCTTATTTCTCAAAACACACACAATGTCTTCTTTCGCTCCTCGTGGACGTGGTGGATTTGGTGGTGACCGCGGTGGCCGTGGCGGTGGTCGAGGTTTGTTCAGTCCAGTCCATCCGAAGCAGCAAGCATGCATGCATGCCCAAAGTGCCGTTGGTGACTCTATCGCACCAATGCCCATGATCCTCTCTTGCTGCGAGATTATAGTTCACCTTGCTGACTTGGTAAAGGTGGTTTCGGCGACCGTGGTGGCCGTGGAGGTGGCCGTGGTGGCTTCGGTGGTCGTGGAGGTGGCCGTGGTGGCTTTGGTGACCGTGGCGGCCGTGGAGGTGGTCGTGGTGCCCCTCGTGGTGGTCGTGGTGCCCCTCGTGGTGGCCGTGGTGCTCCTCGCGGTGGCGGCGGCGCTCGTGGTGGTGCCAAGGTTGTCATTGTAAGTGTCCGAATGTAGCATGAAGATGGGTATCAGCCACTAACAGACTCTTTTTCCTTGCGAACAGGAGCCTCACCGTCACGCCGGTATCTTCGTCGCTCGCGGCGGTAAGGAGGACATGCTTGTGACAAAAAACCTTACGCCTGGAACTGCCGTCTACGGCGAAAAGCGCATCTCCGTTGAGGGCCCCTCAACTGAGGATGGTACCGTTACCAAGAACGAGTTCCGTGTCTGGAACCCCTTCCGTTCTAAGGTAAATGCCCCATTTCCTGGATTAAAGATGCATGGCATCGTTCCCGGTTTTGTAGAAGTTGTCTCGGAATTCTTCAATATCGCCGCGATAGTCATGACTGCGTGTTGTCTAGTCCTTTTTTTCTAACACCTTTTCTCTTTTCTAGTTGGCCGCTGGTGTGCTGGGTGGTCTTGATGACATCTACATGAAGCCCGGCTCCAAGGTTCTTTACATCGGTGCTGCCTCCGGTACCTCCGTTTCTCACGTCGCTGATATTGTCGGACCTACCGGTAACGTCTACGCCGTTGAGTTCTCTCACCGCTCCGGTCGTGATCTGATCGGCATGGCCACTCACCGTACCAACGTTATCCCCATCGTTGAGGATGCCCGTCACCCTCTCCGTTACCGTATGCTTGTGCCCATGGTTGATGTCATCTTTGCCGATGTTGCCCAGCCCGATCAGGCCCGTATTGTCGGATTGAACGCCCACATGTTCCTCAAGGCTGAGGGTGGTGTCATTGTCTCCATCAAGGCCAACTGCATTGACAGTACAGCTAAGCCCGAGGTTGTGTTCGCTAAGGAGGTCCAGAAGATGCGTGAGGAGAAGATTAAGCCCAAGGAGCAGCTGACCCTCGAGCCTTTCGAGCGTGACCACTGTATTGTCGCTGGTATCTACAAGCGTACTGCCGCGTAAAAAGGTCTTAATCTCTGGTCTCTGGTCATGTCCATTCCCTTTTGATGTTCCCCTCGGCGTCTCGTGTTCTGTGATGTATCGAATGTTTTCCACCTTTCTTGTGACAGGTATTTCCGCCTATGTACTTTTGGCCGCGTCTTAAAATTTAGTTTTCCTTTTCGATGAATTTTACACGCTGGAATGTGTCATACTGAGTGTCTTGATCTGAAGTGTTGAGATAGCTCTGGTTAGCGTATGATATCCGTACCTAGATAGCAACCAGTGGCCAATACAAGCGATCTTAGTTTTGTTTGGGCCGTTAATTCAGATTGATTCGAGGATTATAAAGCTTGTTCTGCAAGTGCCTTTGTATCTCGACCGATGTAGAGCACAGATGACACAAACTCAGGACATACCACAACGAAGGTGCAGCACTTTGCTAGTTGTTGCTATCGTCCAAAATTCAAAAAGGTCTCTCGCTTTTTTTCACAGGTCAGATCGTCGTCCCAGTCCTAATCTCGGACTTGCGCCGAAAATCGGATTTCTCACCAAGGCTAGCACTAAGAAAATGACTCGGAATTGATACGCCATGTGTGCATAAGGCGATCATATTCGTGGGATAAAATCACCATTAGCTACTGGGGAAATTGTCCTGGCTAAACGAGTGTTGGGGAGACACGAGTTCCTCTTCAACTCCGCACGGTGTGTTACTATTTGATAAAACATATCGATTTCCGTTCTAGGTGCTTACCAGTAACCAGAATGATCTCAAAAAGTGATCTAGTTTCCGAAACTGCGTTGTCATATACTAATCTTGTCGATTCTCATTACCGGCGAGGGGGGTTATGTCGGTCAGGAACTGGCGGCTTCCTTCCTCCAAAGCACACCAGCTACAATGACCGTGACTGGCATTGATATCGTTGAGTCCGAGGTCCCAGAGTCAACTGCACGGCACGCGAAGCCGCCTCAGCTGTGTCAAGGCCGATCTCACAACCATCAAAGAGGTCCACGAGTTTATCAGCGTATCTAACCCCTTCGAGACAGTTTACATCCTCCACGGCATCATGTCCGGTGGCTCCAAGGCCAAATTCGAGCTGGGCATTCGCGTCAATCTCGACGCAGCACGCTACAATCTTGACTGACTACGCATGACTATGCCGGGAGCGAAGGTGGTCTTCACATCATCACTGGCAGTCTACGGCTATTCACCGCCAAGATTCTTCATTGACAGGACAAACTTCCCACCTCCTTCTCATATGGATCGCAGAAAATCATTGTTGAGACACTGCTGAGCGACTACTCGCGGCGCGGGTTCCTGGATGACCGGTCTGTGCGTCTGCCCACGGTGACAGTGAGAGCTGGCAAGCCCGCGCAGGCCGCCAGTAGTTTTGCTAGTGAGATAATCCGTGAGCCCTTCCATGGTAAGAAGGCCATTCTGCCAGTGGCTAGGGAAACGGAGATGTGAATTTGCTCGCCGCGCATTGTTGTCAAGAACTTATTTCATGCGCGCGACGTACTTGAAGGGACATTTGGAGAATCAAGATCTATTAATCTTCCCGGGTTGAATGTTAGTATTCAGCAGATGTTGGATGCTTTGCTGAAAATTGGTGGTAAGGAGCGTCGCGATCCCGTTGAGGAGAAGTATGATGCTGCTACCGACAAGTTTGTGAAGTCATTGATTGACTCCTCGATTTGATACTGCTTGTGCGTTCGAGTTGGGGTTTGCGGCGGATGTTTCGATGGAGGAGAACATTAGATAGATTGCAAGCCGGTTTGCATGAGACACAAAGTATGTAGCCAATCAATAGGCGCGAAATTGGATGACCGAAATTGAAGAATCGGAAAACGAGACGTACCAGAATACCTCAGCATCAAGAAAATCGATTTTTGACATCATCAAAATTAATTCTAACCACAAATAGGCCATTAGACTGCATTCTAGCCTACATAACGAATCAATGCAGAGTAAGGAAGTATTCGGGATGTCAAGGGCGGTTTGGAAAAGCGGGTTATGTAATTGGCTGAGCTGGGCGAACATTTTCAGACTTCGGAACCTCAACCTCAGGGTATCTCCATCAGCTCTTTTCTCCATCTCTCCCCTTTTCCCCCTCCCTCCACCTATACAAGTCGTTCTCAATGGCTTCTCGGCGCCTTGCTTTCAACCTGAACCAGGCTCTCCGTACTCGTGCGGCCCTGAAGTCCATCCAACCCGTGAAGCGTGGCTTTGCGTCGCCGGTTGCGTTGCCGTCCACCACCCAGTCCACTACCCTCTCCAACGGATTCACGGTACGACCAAGCAACTCATCTCAATGACATCGCAATTTAGCTAACTCGCTTCTAGATCGCCACTGATCACTCGCCATGGGCCCAGACCTCGACGGTCGGCGTGTGGATCGATGCCGGTAGCCGGGCAGAGACTGACAAGACCAACGGAACTGCACACTTCCTTGAGCACCTTGCCTTCAAGGTTCGACTCTACAAACCCCAAAAAACAAAGCGCTTTTACCTGATGAATATCACTAGGGCACCAACAAGCGCTCCCAGCACCAATTGGAGCTTGAGATCGAGAACATGGGCGCTCACCTTAACGCCTACACTTCGGTACGACCCGGGAACCCACCATCAGCGTCTACCAATCTAAATACTGATCGCGACTACAGAGGGAGAACACTGTCTACTACGCCAAGGCCTTTAACAACGATGTCCCCAAGGCCGTCGACATCCTCGCCGATATCCTTCAGAACTCCAAGCTCGAGGCTGGTGCCATTGAGCGCGAGCGCGATGTGATCCTTCGCGAGCAGGAGGAGGTTGACAAGCAGCTCGAGGAGGTTGTTTTCGACCACCTTCACGCCACCGCTTACCAGGCCCAGCCCCTTGGCCGCACCATCCTCGGCCCCAAGGAGAATATCCAAACCATCACCCGGGACAACCTGACCGACTACATCAAGACCAACTACACTGCTGACCGCATGGTCCTGGTCGGTGCCGGTGGCATTCCTCACGAGCAGCTCGTGAGACTCGCCGAGGAGCACTTCGGTAGCCTCCCCAGCAAGGCCCCTACCTCCGCTGCCCTGGCCCTCACTGCTGAGCAGAAGCGCACTCCGGAGTTCATCGGTTCCGAAGTCCGTCTCCGCGACGACACCATCCCCTCCGCTCACATTGCTCTCGCCGTCGAGGGTGTTAGCTGGAAGGATGATGATTACTTCACCGCTCTGGTTACCCAAGCCATCGTCGGCAACTGGGACCGTGCCATGGGCCAGTCGCCCTTCCTCGGCAGCAAGCTCAGCTCCCACGTCAGCCACCACAACCTCGCTAACAGCTTCATGAGCTTCTCCACCAGCTACAGCGACACCGGGTAAGTTTTGTGATCTTGTTGATAATCCATGTCTTTGGTCGAAAACATGCTGACTTGAAATTAGTCTCTGGGGTATCTACCTTGTCAGCGAGAACCTTACTCAGCTCGATGACCTGATTCACTTCACTCTTCGCGAGTGGTCTCGCCTGTGCAACAACGTCACCTCCGCCGAGGTTGAGCGTGCCAAGGCCCAGCTTAAGGCTTCCATCCTCCTGTCTCTCGATGGCACCACCGCCGTCGCTGAGGACATTGGCCGCCAGATCATCACTACTGGCCGCCGCCTGACCGCCGAGGATATTGAGCGTACTGTCAGCCAGATCACCGAGAAGGATGTCATGGACTTCGCTACCCGCAAGCTGTGGGATCAGGACCTCGCCATGAGCGCTGTCGGCAGCATCGAGGGTATCCTCGACTACCAGCGCATCCGTGGAGACATGTCCCGCATGATCTCTTAAGTTGTTCTACAGTATGATCGCGTGTGAAGATAGCTGCTGAATGCTCCAGGAAAACTGGGGGTTTGGCGGCTTTGAATTGAATGTACTATCAATCATTGCCTTGGGCTGTTAGATCCCAAATTCGTGTGTGAAATAGCAATTAATGGTTTGCCATAGTAGACTATATAGTTTGCCGCCTTTGCAGCAAACACGCCAATTATTTCCTTTGTCTGTTCTAATTCTTCCAGTGCACGCACCGCGCGGTTGTTCTTTCCAATCATCTTGTCGTCGCCATCGTAACTTCTGAAATCAGGTCGTGTGTTGAATTCTCGGTGCCCTCTTCCACGGTAAACTGCTTGCTTTTCCCACACACCAAACCCTGAGTTCTTGTATTTGCTCCATCTTGTTGTTCCTTTAAATCGTCGTTTACCCTTTGCTTACTCAATGCCAGCTTGATCAAAACTTCATACCCTAACTAAGTACCTATCTAGGTACTTTATTTTGATGATAGTTATCTGAACTGATTCGGTTCAATTCGCAAAATCCTGCATGTTGCCTCAATATCTTCATTTTGTGACCACTGCTTTTTCAATTATTGTCTAACTGATATTGATGTTTTAGTGACTGAGCTTCTCTTATCATGGAGCGATTCTCCACTCTGCCAGCCGAGTTGCGCCAGCTGATTTGGGAGTTTGCCGTTCCATCACGAGTCATTGAGATTGGAGAGCCGTGCGACCCAGATATCTTACCAGAGGAAGACCTCAGAAAAGCATGGATTCACAACAGGAAGTATCCAGCCATTGCTCATGTCTGCTGGGAATCCCGCCGAATCGTTTTGGCCAAATTCAAGCTTCCCAAAGGCCTAACTCTTGCGCCAGATTGTTTGACAGACGCTCGATGGTGGTGGAAGTCTACCGACATAATTCACTTCAATGCTCCTGAGATTATTGCAGCCACTCAAAGACGCAGATTAGAGGATGACTTGCTCGACTTGATCAAGGTTCATATTCTATGCAAGAAGGTCTCTATCAGTGCGGATGTAGTCCACCCTTTTTTGCGTTTCCGTACCAGGTCCGATTTCTCACAGTCGTTGGTATGGGAAGTACTTATCTCAACGAAGACATGCATTATCTCCCTACACACTGTCTGTATTCGAGCCACCAAAGAGCAAGCTCGGGAGCTGGGTCTCTTTGGCAACGGTGACGAGCCAGCACAGTTGATCGACCCGTTTGACAAGACAGCCATCAAGCGATTCAGACAGCTCTGGACGAACACAAAACAAGAAGTATCTTCAGTCAAGTTCTTCGACACAATCAACACCGAAAGATTCACATTTCGAGTCGAAAGATGGCTCGCGGAGATGGCAGCGGAGTACATTGATTTCAAATGGACCAATCCACCGTTCCCAACCCCAGGACCACAGTTTATAACTGAAGGACTTCGTCGGTACCCATCTCAAAGACACAATCCTGACACTAAACAATATCTTGTCGAATTTCCCACTCTGGAATTGAGGATCATGTTTCGGCTCTGCCCATCTGAAGCAGTCGATCCTGTGATTACGTAACCAGTCCGCATTTGCGTCGGGAGATTTTTTGAAGGCAAATTTGTTTGAAGTGCATTTTCCTATAACTCTTACCACATCATTACAATGGGAAAACGCGGCGGTAAAAAGGTAATTTTATCCTTCATACGTGCCGTGTGAGTTGTTTGTTGTATTGACCGTGTCTTCTTTCTTCTAGGGTGGTAAAGGCCGCGGCGGCGGCGGCGGCGGCGGCGCAGGCCGTACGCGCTCTCAATGGCAGGATATCACCAGAGAGAACGAGAAGTTCGAACGCTACTACAATGAGCCCGAGTTCCTTCCGGAGGAGGAAAAGGATGTTTTTTGGGCTACCATGCGCAAGGATCTTCCTAACAGCTTCCGTTTCACCGGCTCTCGAGGGTAAGTCACAATGGCCTTTTTTCGCAATTGGCGCATTGAGAGGATTCAAGTAAGATTGACCGTTTTGTGCCTTCATTAGACATGCGTTGGCCGTCCAGCAGCGTCTTAAGGACCACCACATCCCCGAAATCACTTCTATCAAATACGAGGACGAATTCGTTGAGCCACCCCGCCCAGTTTCATGGTACCCCGATCAGCTCGCTTGGTCCATGACCACTCCTAAGAATGTTATTCGTCGATTTGCGCCTTTTTCTAAGTTCCAAAAGTTCCTTGTCGCCGAGACTGACGTCGGAAATATCAGTCGCCAGGAGGTTGTTAGCATGATTCCTCCTCTCCTCATCGATGCTAGGCCTGGAATGACTGTGTTGGATATGTGCGCTGCACCGGGCAGTAAGTCTGCGCAGCTTATGGAACTGCTTCACGCAGGTGAGGAAGATGCCATTGCCCAAGTCACTGAACAGGTCAAGAACGGCACTGCTGGACCCGAACCCCTCGGCCCCGAAGGACTGAATGACGACGGCCGAAGCACGGGCCTATTGATTGCCAACGACAGCGACTACAAACGCGCTCATATGCTTATTCACCAGATGAAGCGCCTGAGTTCGCCCAACCTAATCGTTACCAACCACGATGCCACAATGTTCCCTTCCATCAAGCTGCCTCCCCTGCCCACTGCCGATGGCAGCAAGCCAAAGAACAGATACTTGAAGTTTGACCGCATCCTGGCAGACGTTCCTTGCTCTGGCGATGGTACCGCACGCAAGAACGTCGGCGTCTGGAAGGACTGGACCCCTGGCAACGCTTTGGGACTTCACAGCACGCAGTCTCGGATATTGGTTCGCGCCCTGCAGATGCTGAAGGTCGGTGGACGGGTCGTCTACTCAACCTGCAGTCTGAACCCTGTGGAGAACGAGGCTGTTGTTGCCTCTGCAATTGAACGCTGCGGCGGCGCTGCCAACGTCAAGATCATCGACTGCAGCCAGGAGTTGCCCGGCCTCAAGAGAGCCTCCGGCCTGAAAAACTGGAAGGTGATGGATCGTGAGGGCCGCATGTGGAACAACTGGCAGGAGATTGAGGACCACCGAGATCAGGAGGGCATCAATGGTCTTGCCAGACTTGCAGAGGGCATGTTTGCCCCGACAGGCGAGGCCGCCAACCTGCCGCTTGACCGATGCATGCGTGTCTATCCTCACCAGCAAGACACTGGCGGTTTCTTCATCACAGTTCTTGAGAAGACCTCCGAGATCAAGGCTAAGCCGGAGAGCAGCAACGTCATCCCCAAGGCTTCCGTCGCAGCTCTCGCCGCGGAGCTTGATTCTAAGAAGAACGAAGTAGAGGGAAAGCCCCTGGAGAAGCTCGAGTCGCTGGATGAATTGGTCACTCCCGACCAACAGGCCCAGGAGGAACTCGCCAAGAATGCTTCCGTTGCCGAGGCCGCCCACCAACTTCCGTACTCTGCTACTCTTGATGCATCGACCCCTGTTTCTCTCATGAAGCGGGATGCAGATGATCTTGAAGAGGAACTTCCTGCTAAGAGGACTAAGCTCCACGATGGTAGCGAGGTCCTTGTCGGCGACCGCCCTGTTCACGCCCCAGCGCCTGCAGTGGGAACTGGTATTGACACGCCTGTTGATAGCACACCTCCCACCTCCGCGGCTACTACACAACCTTTCAAGAAGAGAGGTCCCCGCCAAGAGGAGCCGTTCAAGTACCTGGATCCCAACCACGAGGAGCTTCTTCCCATCTATGAATTCTACAAGTTGTCGGAGCGATTCCCCCGTGACCGTTTCATGGTCCGCAATGCCGAAGGTCTCCCTACCCGCACAGTTTACTACACCAGTGCCCTAGGACGTGACATTCTCACCTGCAATGAAGGCCAGGGCTTGAAGTTCGTCCACTGCGGTGTGAAGATGTTCGTTAAGCAGGATGCACAGCGGGAGAACGTCTGCAGATGGCGTGTTCAGACCGATGGCCTGAAAATCGCCGAGCCTTGGCTGGGCCCTGAGCGGTCAGTCATCCTGACCAAGCGGGAGACTCTGCGCCGTCTCCTCGTGGAGATGTTCCCTAAGGTCAATGACGATGGCTGGAAGAATCTGGGCGAGATTGGCGAGCAAGTCAAGGATATCCCCATGGGTTGCAGTATTCTTCGCGTTCAAGCGACCGGCGAAGAAGATGGTCTTCCGTGAGTTTACCCCCTTCACATTCATTTGAGTGACATTTGCATCTTACTAACACAATCTATAGCGAGGCCATGGTTCTGCCCTTGTGGCGATCTCTCCATTCCTTGAACCTGATGCTTCCCAAGGAAGAGCGCCGGGCCATGTTGCTGCGTATTTTCAATGACTCCACCCCTCTTATCAATACCACCCAGAAGCAGAGTGGTAAGACCGAACCGACCGCTGACGCTGAGGACGTTGCACTGAAGGAGGAGAATGTCGAGGTTGGACAGGAAGCGCAGGACGATGTGGATGATCGTGAGACATACACCAAGGATGGCGATGAGGAGGATCGCTTCAACACCACCGTGTAAATTGCACTGTTTTTACAAGCTCCTACTATGGATATCTCTATGCCGTATCAAAATCCAACATCATGAAATCTGTTCCTAGTTTTAGGTCGGACTCCGTAATCTGAGTGATCTGCAACGGGGAAACGTCGGTAGCACTCTGCATGTACCTTCATCTTATGTCCGAAGTACAACGTGCACCGGTTAAATTCAGGATCTCCACACCTTCCCCGCAGGAAAATTGCTTTCTTTTTCCAAGTTGATTAATATGGCGCCACACTGACATGACATGGTGATTGCCATTGACCTTGCTAAGGGCATACGAGCATCTCTTATTTCGACTCTATACTCCGTACAGCTCTTTAGATCAGACTGAAATGGAATGGCAATCTACTCAGGTGAGAGCAGATCACATCTTCACCAAATCTCGTGTCTTTTGATATGTGGAAAATAGAGGCCCCGCAAGGTAAGCTGGCGATCTTTGCTCCGGTTACCATGTGAGGGTTTGGGGTAAATGATGGACCGTAGGGGCTTGCGGCCATAAGGAATCGAGGAATTTTGCTTACCACCTCCGTATTGTCCACGTTGGGTTGGTTTGCTTGGATTGTGTTAGATGTGTCTCTTATAGTATACAACAGGTTACCAGTATAGTCAACACTATCGGAGTACTCGTTATTTAGGACACTTGATTTTTGATAAGGACACCCCTCTTCCAGTCGTTCCAAGATGTCCCTTTAAATAGCTTCAATTTGGCCGCAATTACATGCTGCATCGGACCCTGCACCCCTGTCTGCATGAGCTATGCGGAGCATCCGGGGCACCCCTCAATCTGGGAGAATGACGAAAGTCCTGGGAAACGGCTCATCGCTACAGTAGTATAGCAGTTGCATGTTGTATTAATTAGTGTTAACGCTATGCCGAATTTCTCTGTGCTATATGAATGGCGCAACCCCTGCATTGCAAGGCGATTGGACTTGAATTCAAGTGCTTTCCCCCCCCCTCTCTCCCTAGCAACCCGCTTCACCACTGTTGAGACAGCTATGAAGCTTTCGTCTTCTTGGGCTGTTGTTGGTCTAGCGGCCCAGGCCGCTGGTGCTGCCATTAGCCATTCGGTGAATGGATTTACCATCACTGAGCACCCGGACCCTGTCAAGAGGGACTTACTCCAGAAATATGTAGGTTAGGGTTTTGGTCCTTGGATTTGGATGGTTTAGTTGACAGGCATCTCGTGTAGGTTACTTGGGATGACAAGTCTCTCTTTGTCAATGGGGAGAGACTCATGCTCTTTAGTGGTGAAATTCACCCATATCGGTGAGTTTAAAGGCGTCATTTTGTTTTTTTTTTGGAGATTTCAAGAAAGGATGATGCTGATCAGGATCTCCATAGTTTGCCTGTCCCATCTCTGTGGATCGATGTGCTCCAAAAAGTCAAGGCTCTAGGATTCAACTGCGTTTCTTTCTATACAGACTGGGCTCTGCTGGAAGGTAAGCCAGGTGAGTATACTGCTGAGGGAGTCTTCGCCCTGGAGCCATTTTTCGACGCCGCCAAAGAGGCTGGTATCTATCTTCTGGCCCGTCCTGGTCCTCACATCAATGCCGAAGTATCTGGTGGAGGTTTCCCAGGATGGATTCAGCGCGTCAATGGAACTCTGCGAACTAGTGATGAAGCGTACCTGAAAGCAACAGACAAGTAAATTATCCGGTTCAAATGCAAGACTGGAGGCACATGAGAACTGACATCTCAACTAGCTACGTTGCCCATGTTGCCGCAACTCTAGCCAAGGGTCAAATCACAAATGGAGGACCTATTATTCTTTATCAACCCGAGAACGAGTACAGTGGCGCGTGCTGTGGATACACCGGTTTCCCAGACGGAGCTTATATGCAATATGTGGAGGACCAGGCTCGCAAGGCTGGAATAGTTGTCCCTTTTATCAACAACGATGCCTCTCCTGGCGGCCACAATGCCCCTGGAACTGGCAAGGGTGCTGTAGATATCTACGGACATGACAGCTACCCTCTCGGCTTTGACTGCGCAAACCCTTCTACCTGGCCAGCGGGTAATCTGCCCACTAATTTCTATACCACACACATGAGACAGAGTCCCTCCACCCCATATTCTCTGGTTGAGGTAAGATATAAGGATATCTGCCATGCGGATTGTCAATCTGACTGAAGTATAGTTCCAAGGCGGTGCCTTTGATCCATGGGGAGGTGTCGGGTTCACAAAATGTGCTGCCCTCCTGAACCATGAGTTCGAGAGAGTGTTCTATAAGAACAATCTCAGCTTCCGAGTTGCATTCCTCAACTTGTACATGGTAAGTCCCGGCTCTCCTGTCACACAAATTGATTCTCATCTTAATTTGGTAGATCTTTGGTGGCACCAATTGGGGCAACCTGGGCCACCCCGGTGGATACACATCCTATGACTATGGTTCCCCGATTACTGAATCTCGCAACATCACCCGCGAGAAATATAGCGAGCTGAAGCTGATTGGAAACTTTGCTAAAGTGTCACCGGCATACCTTGTATCAACACCAGGAGACTTGACTACTTCCAAGTACACCAACTCGTCTGATCTGGCCGTGACTCCCCTGCTCGGAGGCAATAATACCGCTTCTTCCTTCTTCGTTATTCGACACTCTGACTACGCAAGCCAAGCGTCAGTCGACTATCAGCTCAATGTTCCTACCAGTGCCGGTGAATTAATCATTCCCCAGCTTGGAGGAAGCCTAACTCTGAGCGGCCGTGATTCTAAGATTCATGTCGTTGACTATGATGTGGCTGGCACTAATATCCTCTACTCCTCTGCTGAGGTCTTTACCTGGACGAAGTCTGGTAAATCGAAGATTCTTGTGCTCTACGGCGGCCCTGGCGAGCATCATGAGTTGGCTGTCTCTTCTGAGTCTAAGGCCTCTGTTATTGAAGGGTCATCAGCAAGCATCACCACCAAGCAGATGGGCAAGGCGGTTGTTATCGGCTGGGATGTCTCTACCACTCGCCGTATCGTGCAAGTTGGTGATTTGCAGATTATTCTTCTAGGCAAGTACTCTCTCAAACACCATTCTGCTTTATCGTAACTAACTAAATTACCAGATCGAAACTCTGCTTACAACTACTGGGTTCCTCAGCTCCCAAACAATGGCACAAGCCCTGGGTATAGCTCCCAAAAGACTGCCCCTTCATCTCTCATCGTCAAGGCCGGCTACCTCGTGCGTACCGCTTATGTGCAGGGCAACGACCTTCATCTCACTGCTGATTTCAACACCACCACCCCGATTGAGGTGATCGGCGCTCCGTCCAACACCAAGAGCCTTATCATCAACGGCAACCAAGCGCAGATCAATGTCGACAAGAACGGGATCTGGTCTAGCAGCGTCGCTTACACAGCACCGACAATCGATCTTCCGTCCCTGAAGAGTCTGGAGTGGAAGTCGATTGATACTCTGCCCGAGATCCAGAGCTCGTACGATGATTCCGCATGGGTTCCAGCAAACAGACCTACCAAAAACAGCGACCATAAACTCAAGACCCCAACCTCGCTGTTCTCCTCTGACTACAGCTTCCACACGGGAACCCTCCTCTTCCGGGGCCACTTCGTCGCAACCGGGGATGAGAAGACTTTCTCCGTGCAGACTCAGGGTGGCAGCGCGTTCGGTAGCGCGGTATGGCTGAACGAGAGCCACATAGGATCATGGGCCGGAATTTCCATCGACGCCGACCACAACGGAACCTACACACTCCCCGCCCTGGAGAAGGGCATGTCGTACGTGTTCACCGTAGTTATAGACAACATGGGCCTGAACGAAAACTGGGTCGTTGGTGAAGAGCAGATGAAGCTTCCCCGTGGTATCCTCAACTACGAGTTGTCCGACCACTCCGCGAGTGACCTTAGCTGGAAGCTGACTGGCAACCTCGGCGGCGAGGATTACCTGGACAAGGTACGCGGCCCGCTCAATGAGGGTGGTCTCTACGCCGAGCGTCAGGGATTCCACCAGACCCAGCCGCCGACCCAAAACTGGAAATCCGATAGTCCCTTCGATGGCCTGTCAGCACCTGGAATCAAGTTCTACAGCGCGAGCTTTGATTTGAACATCGAGAAGGGTTGGGATGTTCCTCTCTACTTTAACTTTGGGAACACCACATCGGCGGCAGCTTACCGTGTCCAGCTCTATGTCAATGGGTACCAGTACGCCAAGTATGTGAACAATATTGGTCCCCAGACGAGCTTCCCTGTTCCCGAGGGTATTCTCAACTACCAGGGTACCAACTATTTGGGGTTGAGTCTGTGGGTGCTTGAGTCGGATGGTGCTAAGTTGGAGAGTTTGGACTTGGTTTATACTACTCCTGTGTTGACGACGCTGAAGGTTGAGTCGGTGGATCAGCCTAAGTATAGGATGCGCCAGGGAGCTTATTAGGTGTGTAAGTCATACAAAGAGAGTTAGTCAAATTGATTTACCCCATATTGTGACCTTGAATATGATGTATCCAAGATCATGAGCAAATGTCCGAAGTATGTCAAAAAGATGGGGGCATCCAACATCTCCACTTCGTAGATCCCAGCCACCCCCAACCTCCTCCCTCTTTGTGACATTTTTATTTTTCTTACTTCCTTGCGATTCTCCGTTTTTTTTAAACCTTTTTAAGATCTCTTAAAACTTGTACTGCGTACTCCATTTTTCCAACAAAACCCACACCCTCTGAAGGCTGCATATGCCATCAATCCCCACACGCGCATATCAACTCGCAAGCTGACCTCAAGCCATATATTCGCTGGAATCGAAATCTCCAACCCGTCGCACAGTCGCAACATTTCTCCCCTGGAAACTCCAAACCAATGGCCAAACAATCAGACAAATAGACAAATAGATACAATGTCATCCCACCCTCTCGACGCCCTCGACCTAATTCCTACCAAACCCAACCTCAACAGAAGAGACTTAAACCCAAACCTCCTATACACCGAAACCTCCCTCCACAAACGCTACACAACAATCTCCATCCCTTCAACTTACGGCCGACTCCACACAAGCCCCGCCGCAGGGACGGTAGTTGGGATCGTACTAGGCAGCGTAGCAGGCTTCGTACTGCTAATGTACATACTCTACCTGGCCGTGAACCCAGGCGGTGTCGCGCGTGGTGGCGCAGCAGTGCCAACCTCATCGTCGATCTCGATGTCGATGGACGAAGAAGAGATCGTGGAGGTGCGCAGACGACGCGGTTCATCTGCTGGACGGAGACGACGCGACGTCATCGAAGTTGCCGAGGAAAGGGAGACTTTCCGTGATAGTTATCGGCGTCGTCCGTCGACGAGACGTGATCGCGTCGTTGTTGAGGAGTCTCTGGCTACTTCGACAACTGGAGATGAGGACGTTATTGAGGTTCAGGAGGAGGAGTCTAGTGTGCCTTCTGATGTTTCGCCGCGTCCGCCGCGGAGGTCTAGACGGAGTGGGGTTAGGCGTTTTGATCCCATGGCTTATGGTGGGGATAGTGATTATAGTCCTCATCGGTGAGTTTGGGGGGGGGGGGGGGGTTAAATGTTTGTTTCTTTCGAGGATGGGTTGCGATACCCCTTTTTATGTGGTATGATTTATTCGTTATTCGTTATTGATTGATGATGCTAGTTGACATCTTGTTATGATGGATGAGAATGCTTTTATGATTCTTAGATATAATGCATATGTAAGAGCCAAACCCAAAGAAAAATTCAAAGAAAAACACGCAGAGAGAATGCTAGACAAACGCTAGACTTCATGTATAAGTTGACGCATTGAGCATGTACGGGTAACCTCCTCGAATCTATGCCTTATCCTCAATTGAGGCCTTCTTGAGCTCGTCCTCAACGTCGGCCACGGCATCCAGCTCTTGAGCCAGCTCAGCTTCCGCCGAGGGAACGACGTTCTTATGAGCGGGCTTCTTGGCAGCATCAGTGGCCCGGCCGTTGGTGTGGGGGACGTTGGCGGCCTCGGTCTCCTCCTCTTCAAGGCGGGTAATCTCTTCCTGGGCCTTCTTGATGTTCTGCGGGGTAATTAGCAACCGGTCACAACCAACAACTTTGAAAACAATTAAACTGACCTCTTCCGTCTTGCTGGCCTGGTTCTTCTTCCATTCGGTGATCTTGGCTGCTAGCTTCTCCACAGAGGCGGGAACATCCGACTGGTTCATAGGAGGGTCGATCTTAACCTTGGCGAAGTCCTCAATAATACCAACATTCATGTTGAACTTGGTGCTCTCAACACTGGCGGCGGCACCGCCCTTCTTGCCGCCCTTCTTGCCCTTCTTGCCACCGGAACCGACAAAGTAGTCCTCCTCGTCGTTCTTCCGCACAACCTTCATTCCCTTGATCTCAGCAGCTTCCACAGTGCGGCCAACTCCGGCACGGAAATTGCCGCCCTCATCCTTCTTCTCGTCCAGACCAAGGGAGGTGAAGTCGTAGGTGGGATCAAAGTGACGGATCAGACCCTGTGCGGTCAGGATCTCATCGGCGTAGGCAAGCTGCGAGGCTTCCTCTAGCTTCTTATCAGCGATCTTCTTGCGCTTCTCGCGAGCAAAGGCCTCTTGCTCGGCCTTCTGGCGCTCTCGGCGCACACGCCAGGCCTCATCCTCGTACTCCTTGTAGGCACGACGGGCCTTGAAGTAGGCATCCTTGATAGTGCGGATAGCAGTGTATTTTTCCTGCTGCTCGTTGCGCAGCTTGGTGCGCTCATCACGCAAAGCGTTCAGGTTCTTGAAAACACCGTCCTGCTCGGCCTTGATGGAATCGAGCTCCTTCTGGATCTCGGCGTACTTGTCGCTCAGTGCCTTGGCCTCGGGGTTGTCGAGGGTCTTGCGCAGTTCGGAGATCTGTGTCTTGATGTCATTAATGCCCTTCTGCGCCTCGTCCAGGCTGGCGAAGCTCTTGCGCTGCTTGCGCAAGTTGGAGACCTCGGTGAGAGCCTTGCGTTCATCCACCAGACGAAGGGTGCCGGAGTCGACCTGCTTTTCCAGACGGGCAATTTCCTTATCGATCTCCTCAACACTCTTGAATGATAGACGTCCACGAGAGTTGTTCTGCTCGGTAATACGGGCCTTGAGGTTGGCGTCCAAGGCGTTGATCTTCTCCTGGATGGAAGACCGGCTGGACTTAAAGCCGGACTGCTTCTGGCGAATGGAGGAGAGTTCGGCGCGCAGCTCCTGCTGCCTCTTAACGGTGGGCGAATCCTGGTTGTTGGGCTTGGCGCTGTCCAATTTTGCCTTGATTTGGTTCTGTTGCGCATATCAGTCATTGGCCTGAGGACATGGTATGCAAGTAAACAATGAACACGAGGGCAATCAACAATCAGAGTGGGTCAGTGATCACCCCCGCCATCCAAGTCAGATGACAGCACAATGAAAAAATTCCAAAAAAAGAGCACACATACCAATTTCTCTTGAGCAGCAGTGTGCTCCTTCTCGGCCTCAGCGAGACTGGTCTTGTAGGCGGCCTCGTCCGGCTTAGTGGGCTTAACCCGCTGCGCATCAGTAGCAGCCATTGCGACGAATTGATCGTAAAAAAAGAGACAGGGAGAAGGGAGGAACGAATTGCCTTCCGAGTATCCTGAATGGATTAAATAGACCAACGAGACCAAAGCGAAACTGAAAAGGGGAAACTTCGAATTATTAAAATGGTTCGGTCGGTTTCTCCGCTTAAGCGTCGCTGGCAGAAAGTTCCCGCCGATTTTTCGACTTCACCTTTCATCTCTCTCCACCGGAGCTCTCTACCCGTTTTTTTTTAACAATATCTCTTGGCAAGACAACCTCCTATTTCTTTCTCTATCCCAGTCATCGACTTCACAATCCACCATGGATGGGGATTCGGCATACTCCATGGAGGCCGAGCGCGAGATGACTCGGCTCTGGCGCACCTTCAGAACAGTCTATGAACTGCTCGCTGACCGGGTAGGCACTTCAGATCGAGCCTCTGATGTCTCAGTATCACTCGTTATGCCTATTTGCTCAAGACTAACCATCGGCGATACACCAGGGCTACGAAGTGTCTGATAATGAGCTGGTACTCCCGCTAGAAGACTTCCGCGCAAAATATGCTGACCCTCTGGGCTATCCTGAGTATGCGAAATCCTTGCGCCCACCGTCCTATTGTCTCGAGAAAGTGAAAACTTGAGCCGAGAAATGCCGGCAAACATCTTTCAAAAAGTGCATATCACTAACATACTGTTTTGCAACAACAGTCGTACCAAGATGAAAATCCAAGCCCGCCCCACCGAAACCATGAAGCTGAAGTACACCGCACTGCCCAGCAAAGCAAACCCAAACCCTCAGCCAGACTGCGGCACAATCTACGTCGACTTCTGCCCCGACTCCTCAGGTGTCGGAACCAAGCAAGTGCGCGCCTTCAATCACCTTGTCGATGAGAACAACTTCCACACTGGTATCTTTATCACTCAGACGCCGATCTCGCCTTCTGCCGTGCGCCTGCTTTCTGGCGTTCCCGGCCGCATTTGCGAGCACTTCCAAGAACAGGATCTGCTTGTCAACATCACCCGCCACGAGCTGGTCCCTAAGCACGTCCTGCTTAGCCCCGAGGAGAAGGGCAAGCTTCTCGAGCGCTACCGTCTGAAGGAGTCTCAGCTTCCCCGCATACAGATCTCCGATCCTGTCGCTCGCTACCTTGGCTTGCGCCGTGGTCAGGTCGTCAAGATTATCCGCAAGTCCGAGACTGCGGGTCGTTATGCCAGTTACCGCTGGGTCATTTAAGCTGCACAGCCAGGTTGCTGGGAAATGGAATAGGAAGATTGACATGCGACTCTTCAGAATGGACTGACGCTTGATCGTCGTCTTCTTTTTCCTTTCTAATTGGCGGGGTTTGCAGAAAGTCAACCCCTGGTTCCTGTGAACGTCAACCTCACAAATTCAAATCGCATCAAGTCCACTTCTCTGTCTCCAATTTGACCGCTTTCTACACTCTGCAGATCTGCAGGAAATACCCCATTTGGCAGTCGAAAAAGAGCAGTTGATGTCAGACAGAAGTGGACACTTGGGGAGTTATTTTTTTTTACTCATCGCCTCACCTTCAAACACAAAAAAAGTTTTTGGTCTCCCCCTTGTATTATGGGCAGCATGGCGTATAGGCGCAAAACTTCTCCTGCTTTGGGAGATTGCGATGGGGGGTTTTGCCTGTGATTTTACATAATGGCCGTGTCTTTGTATGTCTAGAAAAATTCAATCTATGAATGGCTGTCACTTCGAGCTTGGTGGAAGTTGTAGATCATTGTTGTCTAGTTACGTGCTTATGCCACACACACACACTCATCAGTCACGATCTACTTGAAGCCCCAATAGGTGTACCATCTGCCAGCTATTAAATAGTGATCTATCATAGCCCTGCTGTACATACATACTTCGTTCCTTCTTATGCTCGGCTCCACTTGAAATCCCGAAACTAGCATCACACAGGGCGCAGTATGAGAATTGTCTGGACATGATGTGGTCTTGTGTTTCTCTGATTTTCTCACCATGACTTCATTAGGTAGGTAGGTAGGTAGATTTAATTAACGTCCGGCAGGGAGCAAGCTTTCGCTTGCTTCCGCGACCTCCCATGGGGTATATTCACCTTTACAACCATCTGCGAAATAGGGGCACCTTTGAGAAAAGGCTCCCAGACTCCCAGACTGTCTCTATTCTAATCGCTTAACCCTTCCGGTGACCCTCCCATCGTGGCTGGTCCATCCACCCCCGACCGTCCCATGGACGCGCGAAATGCCGAATACACTCGGCCCCCCGACCCCCCCTTCCCTACCAACCTCAACACGCGCGCTGGAAAACGGATGAAAAGCACCAAAGGGCCAGCTGCCCCCCGGTCCTCTCCCAAAAGGTGCCAGCGCCACAACCACAACCACAACCGTGTCCGCCTCTGCTGCCATCATCGAGCGGCTGGACGCAAAGGCCC